CCCCAACCGAACAAGCACCCAAAGCCGACAAGGACCAACTAGCAACGAGCAACACGCAGGCACTCTCGCCTCAAAGCCCAGCCCACGCTATGGCGACCAAACCCGTCCCACCCACGGCCCTGCGCGCGCTCTACCGCGCCCTGCTCCGCGAGCTCCCGCCGCGCATGGGCCTGAGCGACCGCACCCCGCTGTACCGCACCCTACGCGCCCAGTTCTCCTCCTCCCCGCGCGACACCACCACCACCACTGCCGCCGCCATCCCCTCGGCCCGCCACGCCCTGCAGTACGCCGCCTACTTCAAGGCCCAGCGCACCTACGCCGCCCTGCTCGAGCGCTACAACCCGGGCATGGGCATGGACGAGGAGGAGCGCGTGCGCCTGACGGCCCGGCGCGTCGGCATGGACCTGCCCGTCGAGTTTTCGGGGGAGAAGTAGGGGGTGGCTGCGAGAGAGAAAGAGAAAAAAAAAAAGAAAAAGATACCCGTACGGGATGAGAGCCACGGATGGTAAATGGAGGAAGAGACAAGAGCAGTCGTCGCACATCTCGATCACATCACCCGCCCCGACCAGCAAGTCGGCGCGTAAGCGTGCACTTCCACCGCCGAGTAGATATGCCGAAACCGCTTTGGAAGGAAGCATGCGAGAAATATATAATGCAGGGGCTTGCGCGCATGGATGCAGGATCCGTCTTCAGAAACCGAGATGGAGGTATCAACTCCGCGGAGGAGAGTCAACAAACAAACTACTAGGGCAGTTGAGGAGATGCGGGGTTGTGAATGATGTATAAATATTAGATTTGTTCTTCACGCAGCGACGCCACTTTACATACTGTACATATCAACATAAGCATAACACTCTGCATGTAGTAAAATCACATCGCACTTTGTCTCCCCATATAGACACGCTGCCCCTTCCCGGTCCAAAGAAAAGACGTCGTTGAAATGCTATTCTAAAAGTCGTGTCGTATATATCGAGAGGAGCCGCAGCGGGCGTGGAATATATAAATTTGGAAACGAAATGTGAAAATGAAGACAAGCTTAACAGGGGTATGTGGCAACTGGGTTTGCCATGTATAGACTTTGGATACTCGATCCCCCTTCAGCCCTGTTGATTTGTCCAAGACGGGTTTTGTTGTTGTGGTTGCTTTGTGGAGAGGGAGATGGCGGAGTAGAAGAGGGAAAACATATAGGAAGACATGGAAACAAGTGGAGAAAAAAAACATAGCATAAGACTTCGTGTGGGGTATCATCAACTCCGTACCATCCTCCATTTTCCCGTCACGCACCCACCCTCGGCCTCTCACACGCCACCGACCCCTCCGTCCTCGAGGCTCTCGTCCCAGCCGCCCGTCTCGAGCAGCCAGCCGCCGAGGCGCTCCTTGACGCCGCCGATGCAGTCGCCGAGCGCGCTATCCCACTGGTCCCGCACCACGCGCACCTTCTCTTTGAGGTCCTCCGTCAGCCGCCTGCTCTCGTCCTCGCGCATCTCGGTCACCTCCGGGTCCTCGTCGTCGTCGTTGGCCACGGCCGCCGCCGCCTCGCTGCCCGCCGACGCCGACAGCACCCGCTCGGCCGCCGTGGCCACGTTGCGCTCCGCCTGGGCCGCCTTGGCGCGCGCCAGGGCCAGGCTCTCCTTGACCTCGTGCAGCAGGCACAGGAGGTTGGTTTGCGACTCGATGAACTGGTACGTGCTCTTCTCTGCGTGCAGCAGCACGCTGAACAGGTGCTGCAGCGGGTGCTGCCCGTAGCTCGGGTTCTCCAGCACCTCCTGCGCCGGCACCTGGATGTGGAAGTCGGCTAGCGCCCCGTGGTCCTGCGGCACCTCGTCCAGCAGCGACTTGAGCGGCGGCGCAATGTCCCAAAACGCCGACAGCTGCACCTCGACGCCCCGCGACACATTCTCCTCCACCACGTCGCGGAACTCGCGCGCCCTCTGCAGCGACTCCTCGGCAAAGGCGTGCGAGCGCTTGGCCGCGTCCTCGGCAAAGAAGGCCCGCGCGTTGGCCAGCTTTTCGGCGTTGCCCGAGAGGCGGTAGGGGGTCAGCACCACGTCGCGGTAGCGGTCGTTGCGGTCCGAGAGCAGGTCGTAGACGGCGCGGTGGAGCGTCTCGCGGGCCTCGAATATCCACTTCAGCAGCGTCAGCTTCTCGAGCAGCTCGGGCCGCTCGTCGCCCTCCTCCTGGGGCACGTTGGGGGACGGCTCGCGCGACTCGTCGAACAGGCGCGACCGCAGGCCGTCGAAAAGGCCCGTGGCCTTGTTGATTCGCGACGTCAACAGCTCGTTGACTGGCGCCACAACCGCCTGCTGGAACCGCTCAAAGTCGGCCTTCTCAAGGTCCCTGAGCGCACTCCGCTCCGCCTGCGCCGAGTCCTCTTCGATCGAGGCCGCCTCGGCGTAAGTCATGTTGCCAGCCGCGATCTCCTGCTGCAAGTTGGTGCGCAGAGACGAGACGCGCTTCTTGGCGGCCGCTGCAGCCTCGTCGCGCATCTTGCGGCTGTCAGTCGTGAACCGAGCCTTTGTCGCCTCGGCGTCGGCCAAGTCGGTCAGCACCCGCACCTCGGCCCGCGTGGCCGCCAGCTCCGGGTGGTTGTTGTTCACTGCCGGGTGGTGGCGTGGGTACGGGGGCGGCAGGGTGACGAGGCGGGAGACGTCCAAGTGCGACGGGTCCGGCGTGCTGGGCGCTGTTGCCGACGACGTCGCGGTCGCGGGACCTGGGGTTAGAGAGTTGCGGTAGTACTGTGCCGGTTGGTGCGAGTGATCGGCTTGCTGGGGCGTGCGCACGTTCTCCGTCGAGTCCTCATGCCAGCCCACCTTCTCGGGCGGGTATTCCAACCCCGAGTCCCGGCTTTGGGGCTGGGCGCTACGGTGGCAGCTCTGGTTCGCATCGTGGGGTTCGTCGCTCCATTGGAGCGCCTCGCGGGCCTCCTTGGGCACGCCCATGTACTTTGATTCACGCTTGGAGCGCTCAATGCGCTGCGACGGGGTTCCGTTGGAGTCCGCCTCCCACCAGCGGCTGGCCGGTCGTCCGCGCGAGTCCTCCTCATCCACCATGTCGCTGACGCTCATGCTGAGAATTGGCGACAGCGATGGCCTATAGTTAGACTGCTGCCAGTTCTGGCCGCGATCAGGGCTCGTGCCGGGAGGCATCGGCGACGGGGACGGAGGGGCTGAGCTGCTAGAGGCCTGGCCATTGTCGTTGGCATGAGGCGTCGCTGAGCCTTCCCCGCGGTGTGCGTAGCCCGGGGAGGCGCGCTGCGACCTGTTCGGCTCCGATGACCTCGGCGTAAACTCTGGAGCGACGCTGCCCTGAGACGAGTCGCGCCTAGCAGACATGGGACGGAACAAGTCCCGTGTGAGATCTAGCACTTCGTAACCCATAGCCCCAATCGAGGCTGCATAACGCTCCCGACGGACACGCGACTCGCTGACTATAAATTCGGCAAAGAGCCTCACGCGCTCGGCATCGTCTGCGGCCGTGGCCTCCCTGCGCGCGAAGGCCTGGAACCGCTCGACTGTCCCGCGGCAAAACTGGTCAGCTGTCTGCCCCACTGCTGTCTCCTTGCTGATTGGGTATGACGAGGGCGTGGCGGTGGCGGCAGGCGTGCTGTTCGCACCGGGCTCCATTCTCATCCGCGTCTGCGAGCTAGATGCCGACCGGACCTGGGGAGGAGGGGTGGGAAGAGCCTTGGGTGCCATGGGGCCGGGGGCGTGACCCTGCTGGCCGCCGCTGAGCTGGTATGGCTTTTGCGGTCGCGGACAGAAGGGCGGAGTCTCGAGCTGGCTGGCGCTGTTCTCCGTCATTGTAGGAGGAGCGGACGCCAGGGCCCGCGGGGTAGCGTTGCGGGAGTCATTGGCAGATCGTGGTGTTTCCTGGCTACTCTGAGCCGGTCGCCCTGCGCTCCTTGGCGTTCCTCGGGTGATAGTCGGGCGCCTTGAAAGCTGGCCGGAGCTGGGAATCACAATGTCAGAAAGATGTCTCTGGTGGTGTCCTTCCAGCGACGCATCGATCGAGTTGTGGACACCTCGTGTCCTGCTTTCGTTCCGCCGTTCTCGCAGCGTCATATCTCCCCTGACTGCTCCAGCCCGTCCAAGCCCGGCCGAGCCGGGAGGAGACTCGATAGATTCGCCTGGGACACGAGTTCTGTTGCCACTTGAGCCGTCCCCATGTGAGGACCTGGCCGTCGAGTCTGGTGGGGAGTTGCTGCGGTCTCTGCGTTGGAGGTGCTGCTGCTGCTCTTGCTCTATTTGTTGTTCTATCTGGTGCTGCTCTTGGCGCTGCTGTTGGAGACGCTGTGACTGCTGCTGCTCCATCGTCACCTCGTTCTCGTTCCAATTAGCTGGAGTGGGCGGGACCGGTCCCAGAGCAGCGACGCCGCTGGGTGGTGGTCTCCTAGTGGGCGGCGACATGATGGGGTCGCTCCCGCTGTTGGGCCTCGACATGCTCTGCGACCTGGAGCCGGGCGGCGGACCGGGTGGGGGCGGTGGCACAGGCATGCCCGGGTCCCATCTCAACTGAGAGGCGGACCTGGACCTGGCGCTTGTCGGAGTGCCGCCTATAGATCCAGTGGATTGGGCACGGCGAGCTGCGGGGGCCATTTGCTGGACCTGATCAGGCTCAGCGGGCTCGTGGCGCAGCGGGATCTGCAGCGACAACGAGGCCGGGAGTGGCGGCCGATGGGACATTGCGTCTGGACTTTGGCTCATCTGCTGCTGCTGCTGCTGCTGCTGCTGCTGCTGTTGGTGTGGCCTGGAAAAGATGCCCATTGGCATGGGCGGTGGTGGGTGGTTATCGGGCGGCGTAATGACGTCAACTGAGGAGTCACGGTCCCTCCGCCGCAGCGATGGGATCCCAAAGCGGCGGTCCCTAGATGGGACCCTCCCGGTCCCAGGAGGTGGCGGCGGGAAGGACTGATGCGAATTGCTTGGGGCATGATGTTGATCCGGTGAGCTGCGCGGCGCATTTGGCGGCGGTGGTGGTGCCCGCACGGCAGAGATGTTGGCTGGCGGTGTTTCGTACACCTGGCTCGGGGGCCTCTGTTGGCTCCTAGGGGGCGAGTAGGGGGGAGGTGGTAGTGGTGACGCTGCGGATGACGGTGTTAGTTAAGAGTGGAAATTTGACAAGCACCGGCGCTCTCACGACCCGACACGTCAACTTACCCTGTGACTCGCCCGAGGAATACCGCTGGCTGCTCCGCTCAGAGCCCGGTAGGGGTGAGGCAATCCATTCCTGAGGGTTGTAGGGCTGGATGGCGCTGACGGGAGTCGGGCTAACGCCAAAGCCGTTGTGCGAAGTCAGCGACATGGCCGACAGCGGCGTGCCTGACGGGTTCGGGTATCCGCCCAGCGACGACGTCAGCAGCGGGTTCAGCCCGGCGCGCAGGCGCGACGTCGGGTCACGGCCGCTGCTCATCATTTTGAGGGTCCGGAGAAGGCGGAACTGGTGTGTTTTCGGTGAAGGTGGTGCCCAGGATCGTGGGTGGTTTGGTCGTGGTGGATTTTAGCGGCCTCTCTCAGTGTGTAGTCGCCCAAATTCCAACCAGTATAGGCGCCAACGTTGACAAGGCTACACAGAGCTATTAGGCCCAGCTTTCAATCTTCTCTGTTTCCCCTTGGGCCAAAACCCACACCCACAGAATTCCCGCCTCTTGTCAACAACCCAGCCAGAGAGGTGTCGTAATTGTCGTATGCTGTGGTGTGACTTGTAATTTTCCCCACGGGTAAACGGGCTGGCTGCTCGAGGTCGCGCCCGTGCGTGGCCGCTGAGGGGGGTTGGTGTTTCGATTCAGGTCCAAAGGCGGGCGCGGGCTCTGATCTGCCCCTCAATGCGCGATGCCCAGCACCCGAACCTCGACAACTGCTACCACCCACACCTCGGCCCTCCGCGTTGTCGACCTCCCTGCGGGCTCTCGGGTGATTCGAGTCGGCCGCCCGATTCGATCTATTGCTGATATGGTCAGGCCATCAGACACGCATCCTCGCTTCAATGGACCAGGTGGTGTTTGCTGGTTGGGTCGTCCAAGATGGACTGCGAGCAGCCTGGGCAGCACACGGAAGCCCTCCCTGTTGTCGTTGTGATCTATTAGGATTCGCAAAAAGACAACACTCGCCGAAGCAGGTATACAAAAGAGGTCGCAACGCAACCATCAGGCAAGACTGTGGCACCCGACAGAGAAAGAACAAGATCTGAGAGAGAGGGAGGAGAGGAGGTGTGGGAGGTGCATCAATGATAAAAACCCAGGAGATTGGTGTTCAATCGACGGGTGGGCCGCTGCCCCTTCCCGTTCGGTCACGCTAGGAAAGCCAAGGAACTTTGATGGGAGCCGACGAGGCAGCCGGATCGGGACGTGACTTCCTGAGTGTTTGTTTGAACATCAATCTGCTGACGGAAACGAATCAATGCCAGCTGGGTCACAGAATTTGAGAGCATCCTTCCAGGATCAAGTGGTAGGGAGACATTTATCGACCTGTCTCCTTGTCCACACGAACTCTTGGGTCTTGAACCTGTGTATCGACAAATACCATATGTCTACATGGCCCACTTGTTGCCCGTCTTCGCCTCCTACAGTAGATGCAAGCAATAAGCATTCTTCTTCACCTGCATCTCAGCTCGGCTGAGAGTGGCGACCCCCTGGAAGAAGCAAAGCCCGCCGCGTGTTGGCCTCGACACCCATCCTCCCAGCCTCATCACAAACCCCAAGGCCAAGACATGGGGAGCAAAAAGGTTGGGGGTCTCAGGCATGTGTGCGCGACAAGGAGGCTGCAGCTGTGCACCCACCGCCGGCTCTTGGAGGAGAAGAGCCGGGTGACAGCGAGCAATGGGCGGCGAGGTTGGTCGACTAACAGCAGCAGCTAGAGACGACTCTTGCCCACACATCTAAATTTGGATGGCGGAAACTGGGACTAGGCCCGTGATTGGCTGGCACATGTTGCAGCTCCTGCAGCGCTTAGCGTCCGGCCACCTGATTGGCCCCAAACCTGCATCCTAGCCCGCCTGCCTGAACATCTCCCGCATCATGGTGGGGGGTAGAAGTGGACCCACCCACCCACCAAATTCACCACTCACCGCAAGGGCCGTCTTTTTGCCTGGGAGAAGAAAAAGACAGGCCACTTTGGAGCACAACCTGCATGTTCTCGACTCGAGGGGGTACACTTTTTGGCGACCGCATTGCTATCAAATCTCCGATCTGCCCGAGCAGGCCAAGACGCAAACGGAGCTAACCGACCAACATGACGACCAACCCACCCCATTGAGACTTTGGCCCCTTGCCTTGTGCTCCTCCTCGTGGATCCGATCGACGCTGCGTGCCAAGCGTTCACGGACCTTGACCCCGACTCCGACCTCCTTCCTGGAAGAGGAAAAAGAAACCGGCCGGCAGCCGAGGCCGGAACTGGTTTCTGTGTGCACCCGTATCGGTTGTCTGGGTTGGGGTTCCAGGATGAGGAAGCTCTGTCTCTCCGCCTTGCCCACAATCGCGGATGGGAAACGCCGTCAGCCTATGCAGGAAAAAGAGCGGCGTCCATCCCGCCGAGGCTCGCATGCGGTTGCAAATTAACGTTAACGTAGCCGAGTATAGCTTCCCGCTCGCCATGCCGGCAAATTCCAATCGTTTGATGCAGACCGCACCACAGCCCAGGCGCCATGCCCTCCGTTCGTCCTCCCTACCCATGGAGGGAAAAGCACCAGGGTCGCCGGAAGCTCGCGCTTCCATACAGGCCTAATGCACACCGCAAGCGTCATTCCACTTTTGGTCTTGCGTCCCCTGGGCCTTGTCTGTCATGCGTCGCCACACGTGCGTCCCCCCGGTGCCAAATCCACAGCCAAGCAGCCGCGCTGCGATACCTACAAGGTAGGTGACTCCACGTCCAGGTTCGTGGCGCAACTAATAGGGGTACGGCATCCTTTACTCCTTTGCTTTTCGCGTGGGGTTTCTGTACGACAACTGGAGTCTCCGGGTCCTTTGTGGTATTTTTAGGCCGGCAAGTTGCCCCCCCGAGCGTCCTAGCTAGGATTCTTGGTGTCTCTGCCCTCTCTTGCGGCTTTAATTAATGACGCTTCATCAGCTGGGAGTCAGCCAGGTGAGGCTGGCCAACGATGTCTTGTTATTTTATTCATTAGGACGGAATGGACAGGCCACCGAAGACGTCCAAGGCTGCCAGCATCCTTGCTCGAGCCTCCAGTCCATGCTCACCGGGAAGCACGGCCTCAAGCTGTGTCACTCGCGCATGTGCATTCGCGGGATTAAATAACATCCTTGGAAACCCCTCACGAGGAAGGATCTCTAAATAAAACTCACGCTATTCCAAGGAGCCTCGTCTGCGGCCCCGACTGTGATCCCTGCTGGCGCAGGATGCCGTTGATGGCGGCGGTGACGGAGTGCGCGTGCGTCTTCCCTTCCTCCTCCTCGTGACCGAGCATGAGAGGTGCGGAATCCTGCAGCTCCGGCCGCCCAGCCACGTGGTCTGTCTACTCGTCCACCGTGACAGGAGCGCGCGTCGGCCATGCGGTGGCCAACCCCCAAGCGGAGGTGCTCGGCGCATCGGTGAGCTCGCGGCGGCCCGAAAGCGGCCCGGAGGTCAAGGCGCGCCCCCAGGACCGAGTCGGCAGCCCGAGCGGGACGCAGATAAAACAACTGCTGAGCGAGTTGCTTAGCCCTATTCACTATCTTTTCGACGTAGGGAGGGTATCACTGAAACTGTGTACTTCAACTACGCCGTTTAGCGGGCGTGGCTTTGCAGAACGATAGACTAACCAAGCCTTTGAAGTCTTTCATCCCCTGGATCATATTGTACAATTGCGGTGTCATTCTTGGCTAAAAGTAAATGCCTGGGGCATGCGGGATGGAGTATGTATAGCCCACCCGGCGTGCCACGTCCAAATGCAAAACAACGCACGCGACCAACCACACACCTGGCACAAAGAACTGCGCGCCTAACCGTTAACCAGCACCCCTGGAGGCTGGACGGCAGCTCGATGGGTGGATTGGGTCGGACGAGGAGGGGGAGCCATTTTGGTCCCCAAACCTTCCATATTCCCCCTGTCAGAAGAGGGCCCTACACCTTTCACCAGATATCAAAAGCCTAACACCACACACCTCCATACGTTGACGCTCGTGGCCATGGCGGTCATGCCTTTGGGGGTAATTCTAAACGTGCTACCTACCTAAGTTACTACTAGCCACAGTGATTTGATCTTTTCCCTTCCTCTTCTTTCTCGACTTTCACAGCGTTGGTGCATCTTAGCGGCTGCTCATGGCGTAATCGGGAGCGTTCATAGAGTTGTATGGCTGTTAAATTCCAGCCCCCCCATTGCATTTCTTTGGAATTGGTCCTTCCTGGTAAACTAATGGGAGCGCCTTCTGTGTTGTACAGGCTCGATTCCCTCCCGGCGTTGTACTTGCCGTGTCACTCAGAACGCATCGGACACGACCTCGGGGTACCAGACTCGAGCCGCTTTTATGCCATCGTATGCTCTTGTCGTAAAGCGTGTATTTCATATAGCCTATAGCATCATTATGCGTAGAACCAATCGAGGATGACAGATGTCACCCATGTAGATTTTAGGGACCGAACGTCGGGCTTGCGTTCCCCATCATTCGACGCTCCATTTCTGGCCAGCGTCTCTCAACAACCCCATCCCCCCATCCATCCGACCCACTGAACGCCATAAACTCCCCCCTTTCCAGCCCGCGACTAACAAGCCATTTTATAGAATGGTACCGAATCTGTCCAGCGGTATCGTTAGTTGGCGGAGCCCAGAGACAAAAGATACATATGGCACAAGGTGGAGAGAAACCTACCCAAAGGTCCTTTTGATACTGCGAACGTAGTACTCGCCCCAGTTCCGCTTGGTGACGTCCTCCTGGCCGACGGGCACACCGCTCCAGGTGACGCGCATGACGGTGACATGCTCGACGTCGTTCTGGTCAAACTCGATACGCAGCGTCGAGAAGTGTCCGGCCGGCCACTGGTTCAGCCGCCACGACTGCACAATGCTCTTGGGCTCATCCAGCTCCTTGTACTCGCCGGCGACGTTTCCGCCAAACAGCTCGAACTTGCCGCCGGGGCGCGCGCCTTCGAAGACGCGGGGCGGCTCGCGCGTGAAGGCGGCTAGGCGCTGCGGGTCCGTAAAGGTCTTGTACAGCTCATCGGCCGTGGTGCGGAACTCCTCGTTGTCGGTGACGGTGGTGGTGTTGACGACGGCGCCGGACTGAGACGCGGCGGCGGATGACGAAGCACCTGCGAGCGGCGAGGGCGTGGCTTGGCCGTGGACCTTGGGGGTGGAGAAGCCGCTGGACGGGTTGGAGCCCGGGGCGTGCTGAATGTCCTTGCCGTGCTCATTGATGAGGGCCGGCGCGAGCTTCAGGAATTCGGCACGCAGCTTGGGCACCAGCTTGGAGCGGACCAGATCCTTGACGGGCTGCTTCTCCTTGGCGTCGGCGTGGATGTCGATGTCGAACACGAACTCATCCTCGTCGGTATCGTGGGCCACCTCAGGGACGGTGATGCCGCCCGTGACATAGACCTCATCCGCAGTGGTGCCTATGGGATGCCGAGCAAAAGTGACAGGTCTTAGCCTCGCCGTCCGGTTGATCGCTACGAAGAGAAGACGAGGCACACAACAAAACAACAACCGGGGGGCAAAAGGTCTGCTTGAATTTCTACTATTGCGACACTCACCTGAGTACTCCAGAGCTAGCTTGACATCAAAGATGGTAATGACCTTGCCCTTGCGCTGGCTGACGTCGACGTCTCCGTCCATGCTGACGACCTTGCTAATCTTGGCCGAAACCCCGCCATCCTCGACTTCTAGCTTGGTCAGGTTGTCCTCGAACCATTGTTTGGCCCAGGGCCCGACGTCCTTGTTGACCCAGTGCCAGTTGTTGGGGTTGTGAAGCACCATTTTCGCGGTCTGGCCTTGTGGCGGATGATTCTACAGTTTGGAGACGGTTGGAGTTGGGAATCTGCATGTTTGTCGTTAGCGGATGCGCTGAGTGCTTGGAGGGGTGTCGCGAAGCAAGGGAGCGAAAGCGCCAAAGATCAGAGATTGGTCGAAAGACCGCAGCGTTTGTCATCAATGGAGGGAGTACAAGTCGCCCTATGACTGGTGCCAGCTGGAATATCATCATTTGAGGAGGGAGAAGCAGCGAAAACCAGAAGGGTTCGCGCAGGGAAAAAAAAAAAAGCGAGGCAGGAGAGGCAGACGCAAGGGAATGATGGCAGAGGCACAACCTACAGTTGGAAAGCTGTTGCTCGACACGCGACGACCCGACGCAATGTGATTGCAAAGATGCCGGACCACAAGAGACGGGAAGTGCGTGTCGAGACAGGCGGAAGCGCAGGAGTAGACAGGAATAAGTCTCGCGCCGAGGTCTGCGAAGAATGGAATCAAAGAGACATGGAAGATTCGATCTGGTTCGAGTGGGTGTGTGGGCGTGGGTGCGTGGGCGTGGGTGCGTGGGCGTGGGTGGGCGGGCGGTGAGGCTGCCAGGCCTCGACCAGAATACTGCCACACAACGTCCACCGCCTTCCTGTTTCTCTCGCCAGATGTCTCTAGCGCCCCACTGCCCCGCCGTGAAGCAGTGCCCCGTGCGTTTTGGCAGGTATAAAGTGGGCGCCGCCTCGTTCAGCTTTTCTTGTTTTCCCTCCTTTCTTCTTCATACTTACCTTGTTGGCCGAGTCGCGCGATCATGAAGGCGCGGCCGGAGAGTGGGAAGCCTGCATTGCACACCGTGGCGCTGACCGCTTTGGTTTGTCCTTCGGGGCCAACCCTGGCGTAATTTTTGATACCCACCTTTTGTTTTCATTGTGCGCGTCGCCTGGTTGCGGCGCCATGAAGAAGACGAGGTCGATGTGTGGTGTTATGTTTGAGTGCGCTTGAGTGCTCTCGACAATATTTGGTGCCTGTCATGACCCCACATGTCCTCCCTTCGCATCCTTGCCTCGAGGTAACCTTGGCAAATTCCATGCAGCCTGTTGTCGCCGTCGCGTTTGCCGCCTTGCATCTAGACTTTTGCGGTGCTATGTCGGTGCACTTGTGGCGCTTCTAGCCCGGCCTGACCACAGACATCACCACGCTCCGACCTTGATGTCTCCTGAACGTACAGCGCCGCTGCCACTGTCGCACTGCTGCCACAATGTCCGAGAACATGCCACCAGAGCCGCGCCGTGCGGTGTGCCGTGACAATGGAGAGCGGCCCCCATGACATGCGACGTCTTGGACAAACATGTCAGTTCCCAGGGGACCCTTTAGGTTCCGCCTCGTGCCGGCCTAGCCAGCTCTCTCTCCTCCCTCTGCTCCGACAGAAATCATGGACACAACGTGTTTCCTGAGCACATCTCGGCACACTTGGAGAGATGCGAGCACGAATGGTTTTACTGGCCATGAAGATAGCCCGACTTCGACTGGCCGTTGCCCTGTCTCTTAGCCGCCTCAGCCTTCTGGTTTCAGCACAGGAAACCCTGGCTGATGGCCTGACCGTCTTCCCTAACTGCTCGGTTTGTGCAAAGAGAAAAACCGAGTCCGCTTGTGCTGGCCACGCTGACGACTGGTATGCCTGGGGCGACAGCTTCAATATGCCCTTCCCATCCTCCGAGCCTCTCCCTGCTCTTTAGCCGAAAAACACTGTCTCTGCGATGACAGGGGACTGCAGGAAGGCTTGTGGGACTCTATCTCCCATGCATGCAGCATCAAGGACTGGTTAGGTGGGCAGAGAGTTCCCAAAGATGCAGCCAGTCCCAGTCTCAGCGACCCCCAGTGAAGCGATGCCGACCGGGTGGAGAGTGCTCCAGCGACGAAGAGAATTGTAGCCCGGGTTTGCGACCCTGCGACCCCGTCTGAGAACTAGAAGGTGGCCGCCGTCACCATGCCCATGTTTGCACTTGCTCTGTTGGCCATCATCGTTCGGCTGGTGGTCAGGGCCTGCTGGCTCAGGTCCAGGGCGACGGCGAATAGCGGCTGGAGAATGTCCAAGCCAAACCTCTCTCTGCTGGACCTGGGCGACCTCTTGATCGTGCTCGCGCTCTGCGGCCTGGCCGTCACCACCTTCACGGACTCCTTGCCGCTCAGCTCGCAGGGGCAGACGGCGCGGGTGCCCGTCGGCGTCGACGTGTGGACGCTCTCGCCGGAGCTACTCTACATGTTTGGCTTCTGGCTCCTGATCTGGGAGGTGCTCTATTTTGCCACCATGAGCCTGATCAAGACGGCGCTGTGCCTCCTGTTCCTGCGCATCTTCCCGCGCCACGGGCGGCACAGCGCCACCATCCGCATCCCGCCGTGCGGCCTCCCCTTCCGGCCCGTGGCATGGGCGACGCTGGCCACCAACGTCATCGCTGGCGTCGCCTTTTTAATCCTGTGCCTCGTGCAGTGCTTCCCACTCTCGTACACGTGGACGAGCTGGGACAAGGAGTCCGGGGGCCACTGTGTCCTGGACCCGGGGCTCCTGAGCTGGAGCAACGCCATATTTGCCATCGCCATGGATGCATGGATGCTATTTCTTCCGTTGTCACAAATACCAAAGATGAACATGGGTATTGAGAGGAAGCTCGGCATGGTCTTTATGTTTTGTCTGGGCACACTGTGAGGCCTCCTTCACCCCGACTGCCTAGTTTCCCCCAGGTCTTCCCTCGGTTCTCTCTCAGGCCCGAAAGAAGAAACGCTGGACTGAGTTTTCTAGTGCGCTGACCTTTGGTACTTTACCAAGAACAGGGCTACTGTAGTAAGCATACTGAGACTGTTCTCCCTCGCCAGATCCGAGAGGAGCACGAACTTCACCCGGGATATCCTGGGCCTGGTGTTGCTATCCAGCATCGAGATGTCGGCGGGCATCATCTGCGCCTGCCTGCCGAGCCTGCGCGTCTTCCTGGTGTGCGTGTTCCGCAGCACCCGCGACACGGTGTCGCAGTCGCGCAACTCGCAGAGCCTCCAACAGCAGCGGCAGGGCGCCCACTCGGCGGCCGCCTCCACTGGCGGCCGCCACTGGGCGGACGGGGCTCGGCGGGCGGAGCGGGGTCAGCGCGCGGGCGGCGGCGGCTCCCGCCGGCCCATGTCGGTCGTACACTACTCCATCAGCTCCGGCGGCCTGACCGGATCGACGCGCCCCATGTCGCTCCCGGCCACGTGGAGGGGCGACATCATCAGGGAGATCATCGGCGGTGCCGGCCCCGGCCGCGCGAGTGGAGGGGACGAGGGCGAAGGGGGCCTTTTGGCTGCGAGACTCTCGGCTGACGACGTCGAGCCGGCTGCCGTCGGTCCGGCGCGGCGGCAAGTTTTAATAGAGGAGGCCGTCCATAGCGGCAAGGGCGACGTCGAATCTCGGGGTGCAGCAGGCGCCAGCGGCGCGTAATCTTGGCAATATCTCGACCGCTGGCACGTGTATCGCCACACAAATAATGCCAGCGGTGAATCCTTAGCAAGGCTACACCCCAGGCAATGTGGGCTGTCTGAACCACCCCATCAGTCTCCCAAGGCAGAGCCAATATCAGAATTGTTACTGCACAGATCATAGCCCAGGCTTCTCTTTGATTAGGCCTACGTAACCGCCCCTTCTGGTTAATTGAAGCAGGTGGCAAAATAGAGAGCTTCCCCTTCCGCCAGGAGATGGGGGTGGCTCCTGCACGTGGATGGGGATCGACGTGGAAGGGTGGGTGTGCCTTCATATCCGGGAAAATACAAACTCGATAGCGGCTCGTCGAGGACATGTTTTTGATAGGCCGATCTATTGCTTGGCCCAGGGAATGCACACTCGGCATCAACAAGCCGGCATTTGGTGGGTTTACGGGAGCTGGCGTTCATCAAAGATATATAAGCGGCTATTTGTTCGAGGGATGGGCATCCAAAGTCCCTTTCTTTTCATCGCAAAATTTCGAGTCTTGAAACTAGTACTTGTTGGTTTTGTAATACGGTGGAAGAAACCAACTCTTCAAGACTTTTTACTGTCAACTGCCTCAATCATCTTCGCCATGATGCGTTGGCTGGCCTTTTCTGGTCTCATGGCCGCCGTCGAGGCGATTCCCCAGGCTGGGGGCGGCTACTCTACAACCATGCTGCGTTTCGGCTGCTCGCAAGTTTCCATTGACCGGATCGACCCGTAAGTCCCCTTCTGAAGCATCATCATGGCGTTCACAAATGCTAACAGCATCACACGCCTCGTCACTACAGTCTCGTCGACCCTGGTTTGATCCCTTCGCCCCATGTCCATCAGATTGTCGGAGGAGTATGTCTACCTGCCCTCCCTACACCCGCATCACAAGATCAACTAACCCCCACCTCTCCCAGAACGCCTTCAATGCCACCATGCCGTACGAAGACATCTCCAAGCTGGCCAGCTGCACGACGTGCACCTTCGACCAAGATTTCTCAAACTACTGGACTGCCAACGTTTACTTCCGCGCGCGCAACGGCAGCTACCACCGCGTGCCGCAGATGGCCAACGAGGTCATCGGGCCGGCCAACGGCGGCATAACCGTCTACTACACGGCCCCGGGCCCCAAGACGGTGACGGCCTTCAAGCCGGGCTTCCGCATGTTCTCGGGCGACAACAACAGGCGCGTGTCGGCGGGCCAGGGCAAGAACATGCAGAGCTGCTTTCGCTGCTACACCGGGCCCAACTTTGGCGGCAACATCTACTCCCCCTGCATGGACCCGGTCCGGGACACCGAGGGCTTCCCCAAGCAGCCCTGCCCGGGCGGTATCCGGTCGAGCGTCATCTTCCCCATCTGCTGGGACGGCAAGAACCTCGACAGCCCCAACCACAAGGACCACCTGTCCCACCCCGTCGGCGGGCCGGCCTCCTTCGCCCTCGTGGGCGCGGCCTGCCCAGCCAGCCACCCGGTCAAGATCCCGCAGGTCCACTACGAGATTGTGTGGGACACGTCCAAGTTCAACGACCTGTCCACCTGGCCCGAGGGTGGCGGGCAGCCCTTTGTGTTGAGCAACGGGGACACGTGAGTATCGAGACTCTGTCTTCCGTCTCTGGTCCGTTCTGTCGAGTGATCGCGATGAGGGCTGACTGTGCGTTCCCCGACCCTCCCCAGAACCGGTTTCGGCCAGCACGGCGACTACGTCTTCGGATGGAAGGACGACACGCTGCAGCACGCCATGGACAACCGCTGCTTTGGCCCGCGGTGCACCGGCCTGACGACCCAGGCCTTCCCCGGGGCTGCCAACGACTGCAAGGTCGACTCGACGGTGCCCGAAGAGGTCGAAGGATGTAAGTCGAGCTGCTGGCGGGATTTGGTCGCAAAGCCCGAACAGAAAGAGGCCTCCGGACCACCAGACTGACAGTTGGCTCGAATCACAGGGCTCGACCACCTTCCTGGCCAAATGCCAATGCCGGCTTGAGAGACATGGCTTGATTCGGATTCATGGATAGCAAGAAGGGAATGATTGGTCGCAGCGGCTGCGGCGACGAGCTGGTTGCCCTGTTCGGTACTGGACCTGTTTCTCCCCCATGTCGCCCAAAGAAAAGGGCGCGTGCAGTCTGCGTTGGTCCCTTTCGCCACGAGGAATTCTGGCGCGACTAGGGTGAAGGAGTAATAGGAATGATAAGGGGCAGAAAATAGATGTTCGATGTGTCAACAGCCAACCTGGGGCGCGCTGCCAAGAGGGCTGGGTTTTATGCCAAGAGAGCTGGCCGTCGGGAGCTCTCTGGGCCCTTCAGCCGCACTTCCAAAGCCGACGCCAGGGATCGATAGCTTGACCCGGCTAGTTCCCCAACGCTCCCGCCAAGCGGGCCAGCGCGCTTCCGCTTTCCAGCCCTGCGTGATCGTAACGCGATGAGCTTGTCCAGACAAGCTCAGGGCAAGCTCCGGCACTCCAGATCTAGGCGACTTGGCCAGTCGCTTGCCGCCACGGCACGCTCTTGGCTGGGCCTGGGAAGCGAGAACGCCGGCTCAGCCGCGAAAAAAAAGAAAGGCCTCCTGCGGTCTTGGCCTGGGCCTCCTTCCTCGTAGGCCCCTGGCGGTAAGGGAGGATCCCGATCATCTTGTTTACGGAGGACGCCGGGTTCTGGGTGTATCATGATCAGGCAGGGCGGCGCGAGCGTCGTGCGGCGTGTTATAAGAAGATCGTGTCCTGCGTAGGGAGGCTAGCTTCTCTAACAACCGGCACGCTCACGCCCACTAATACACTCTCACTTCTTGTGCGCTCCTCGAATAGGTTGCCTCGACCGTTCCCAGAACACTTACTCGCAGCAACACAATGCGTCTCAGCTCCTGGACGCTGCTGCTCGCCGGCGGCCTGGTGGCAGCCCAGTCGCCCGGCACCGCCGCCACGACCGCCCTCACCAGCCGAGCCCCATCCGCCACCCCATCGTCGGTGCCGACCTCGCCGTCCGGCGGCAGCGGCCAAGCCACGGCCTCGGTCCCCGGCGGCGGCGCCAGCACCTTTGCGGGCTCCGGCTCCGGCACGCGGGTGTCTTCGGCCAACGGCAGCGGCGCCACTCGGGCACCGACGGGAACGTCCTCGCCCACGGGCACCTCGGCGCGCGGCACGGGCACCGACACGTCGTCGTCGGACGCGTCCGAGCCGACGGGCGGCACCGACGACGAGAGCGAGATCACGATCGCCACCAACGGCGGCGAGAACGAGTCGGACAAGCCGCCGCCGGCCGAGGATGTGTCGACGGCCGAGGGCGACGCGGCCGAGGAGCAGGAGAACCGGCCCGAGGTCAAGATGACGCCTGAGCAGGCGCGCGAGGTGGCGGTGCTCGAGACGGGCATGTTTGAGCACTTTGTCAACACGGCGCCCGCGCCGGGAGACACCGAGGCGCCCGGCGGCGCCCTCGTCATCCCCCAGAACGTCAGCCAGAGCTGCACCATCAGCCGCAAGGCCAAGCGCGGGCTCTGGGGCATGGACCTGCTGGGCCCGGCCGGCGTGTCGGACCTGGTCGACATGGGCCCCATCTCGCCGCGGCAGCTGCTGGGTGACTGCAGGTACGTGACGTCGCTGCAGATCGACGTGCACGTCCACTACATGCGGCCCTTCTACTACAAGGACCCCGTCGACGCCAAGGGCAAGAAGGTCGACCCGCAGGCCCTCAAGCAGATCGTCAAGAACCAGTTCAAGCTCATGAACGACAAGATATACGGGCCCATGGGCATCACCTTCAACCTCAAGGGCGACGTCACCTACTGGAACCCACCCAAGAAGGGGTCCAACTCGGACTGGAGCCTCATCAAGAAGAACGAGGCGCGACTGGAGCAGTGGCAGAAGCAGACCTACTTCAAGAACAAGGCCGTGCTGACGCTGTGGCTCGTCAACGAGCTGGCACGCGCAGACGGCGACAAGGCCCTGGCCGGCTACGCGCGCTTCCCGCAGGACCTGGCCAAGAGCGGCTTCCGCGACGGCGTCGTCATGGAAGCCGGGCTCATGCCGCTGACCAAGCCGTCCACCACGCTCATCCACGAGATCGGCCACTGGATGGGGCTGTACCACACCTTTTACGCCACCGTCGACAAGCCAGAGGACGACTGCAAGAAGGGCGACGGCCTGCTCGACACTACCCTGACCCGGGGCCTCAAGAGCATCGCCAAGCAGTGCGAACAGGTCTACTGCAACAGCAAGGACAATGTGAAGCGCAAGGTGTTGAACTGGATGAGCGTATGTTTTTTTCTTCTTATCTCTCTTTCACCATCCTGTCCCGCAGCTTTATCCACACAATACTGACAATTCCCCAACGACAACAGTACTCCAGCTGCCGCGGCTCCGTCCTCGAAAAGGGCTTCACGTCGGACCAAAAGGCCGCCATGTTCGCACGCTACATCTCGATGCGCCGCGAGTACCTGGCGGGCGAGTGCAGGTACAAGGACCCCAAGGCCGCCGGCGTCCAGCGCCTGGCCATCCGGTCGTCCATGCAGGACCTCGTCGACGGCAAGTGTCCGGACATTGACAAGCAGGTCGACGCCCTCGTCAACCAAAAGACCAACGCCGCCGCCGCCGCCGCTCCGCCGTCCCTCATCGCCGTGGCGGTCGTCGTTGGCTGGGCTGTCCTGGGTCTGGCCATGTGAGGTGGAGTCGAGTGGTAGTGGTCTGGTAGCGAGCGCCATCTTTACTTTTCGTCTCGCGTTTTTGATTCGTGTTGGAAATGTGTTTTTAGCTACGGCTCCGTTCTGTGTTGCAGACACGAGATACCCCAAGAGGTTGGATTTGTCCATGTATAATTTAGCCAGCACTATGAGGCACTAATAACGACGGAATGCTATATCCTGAGAGCGATCTATTGCATCACTCCCTCGGGCATATGAACTCTTCTTGCAGTCTTGCTTCAACCTCCATTCCATTTTGACATGGTACAGTCCACAATCAGGTCATAATTGGAGCCGTTCGGCGAGAACGCAAGCCAAAACAAAAGGAAATCACATTCACAAGGCTCTAACGGGCAACAAACATCAGGCTTCGGGCTGGGGCCTCCCCCACTTCCAGCTCCAGTCTTTGAGGCGAAGCTCAATGTCGACGCCGGCGAGGGCGTCCTTGATATCGCGGAGATACTCGTGCAACTTGTACGTCGGTACCACTTCCAGCTCGCACTTCTTCCTATGAACGTGCAAGACCTTGAGGCTGGGGTACTCGTCGCCGCAGCGCTCGGTCAGCGCCTTCAGGGCGGCCGGTATCGGCAAGCCCATCCCCTCCCAGTGCACGAGGCGGATGGGCCGCGGGAGGAGGTTGGTGAACTGGCCAAGGGCGTCCTCGTACTCCTCCGCCTCGCCCTCGCCGCCATCATCGTCGTCATCGCCGTCCGTGTCGGGGTTGAGATCCCCAAAACCTTGCCCGTCCTGGCTCTCCCCGTCCTCGTGCTCGCCCTCGTGCTCTTCCTCCTCCTCCGGCCAGTAGATGGTACTCGGCGCCCACATGGACCCGTAATCCAGCCTCAGCTCCTCGAGATGGTGAAGCCCCTTGAGCGAGCGGAAGCGTTCGTCGCGCGAGAACGACCGGTCGCTCCAGCGCGCGCCCGGCCAGGCGTCGCGCTTGAGGCGGAGCCGCAGGAACCGGAGGCCCGGCGCGGCGTCGACGATGGTGTCGGCCAGCGCCTGCGGCGTGGTCCGCCAGACGTCGCTCGGGTGGGCATCCTCGCGGTTGCAGACCAGGTCGTGCACAGTCAGGCGCTCGAGCGCGGGGCAGCGGCGGAGCACAAAGTCGAGCAGCGGGACGTTGAGCTCGCAGTAAAAGAGCGCGAGCTCGCGCAGGTCGGCCATGACGGGGAGGTCGGCGTGCTCCAAGACCTCCTTCTCCACCAGCGAGTCGATGGACAGGCTTGTGAGGCCGGGCGCCGTGCTCAGGAGGGGCACCAGGTCTTTGATGCCCATGAAGCCGGCCCCATAGGAACACACATGCAGAGCACGGAGCCTCGGCAGCGAGCCGGCGGGAGGGAACGGCAGCGACGGCAGGGTTTCGGTCATGAGCTCGGTGTCCGTCATGTGCCGGACACAGAGCTCCTCCAGGCCGGGACACGATGCGGCGAATAAGGCCGGAAGGTTGGCGTAGAGAAACCTGGAGCCGTCCTGGGTTCCGAATGTCTGGGTAGCATTGCCGGGCATTTCGACGTTCACCGACTTGATGCACTTGGCCAACTCGGGGCGCCTCGAGGTTATTGTCCTGTATAGGCGAGACATGGTCTTTACATTCCCCAGCACGCAGGGATGTGGTTGGTGGTATAGGTAGCGCGTCGCCAGGGCGTGAAGGGCCTTGTTTGCCCGACACAGGCTGGCCAGGCCTTTTCGATCCGCAAGCGTCGCTGGGACCCAACAACGAAGGCTGCAGCAAATGGAATGATTTTCGATCTTCTCTTTGGGTCGGGGATGGCAATGGGGACACAGCAGTTTGGCGATGCCCTCCATGATGGTGGCGGGGAGGTCGAGAAGAGTGACGGCCATGTTGCTGATTGGTGTGGCTGGAGTTGGTTGCTGGTTGGAGGATAAGGGGGCTGGTATATGGTCCACGGCTTGGATGATGCTGGAATTTCTGGTCGAAGGCAAGGAACCGAATGGGAGAACGATGAAAGCAATTCAGTGCTTGATGACAATAGAATGCAATTATGTAGTGGGTGGATAGTATGCCGGACTGATTGATCCATTGGGAAGGAGGGAAAGGCCGGGGCTAAATGCCCAGCATGACCCCATCTCCGGTAGCCTTTTCACCTAGAATGTCCCATCTCCGTTGCTATTTCGTGAAACTTGTCTCCGAGATAAAAGCATAGTTGGGCAATTCCAAGTATGCAAGTAGTATACTTTCGTAAATCCGAGCGCCATATTGACGGCAGCGATGGATAACTAGGAATTAGAAGAATTTTATTCTAAAGAGGCTGCGGTGACTAATTCTCAAAGACTATCTGTCGTAACTGTTGAAGAGGGCACATTGGGGAAAGTAGGTGATGTTGACTGTGACTTGAGAGGCTGGGAGCCGCGCAGAAGAGAAAGGCTAAGTGACGATTGTGACGTGTTGATCAAAGATAGGGTGGCTACTATAGATTGGTGGCAAGTTGCCCATCCTTCCAATGCAGAGGCTCGACGGCTGTGCGTTGGGGAAGTTCGGTAGTCCATCAGCCAAAGAAAGCAACGACAGCATAGGCAGTTCCCGCCGCGATGAGTAAAGAGGCGCCGCCGAGGGGGCGCTGGTGGAAGGCTGAGCTCTGCGAAGAACCGCCGTTCTGGCCTGGCACCGGGAGGGTGGGCGAGTTGGTGAAGCCCGCCGGCGGAGGGGCAGGGCCGGCCGGAGTCGGGCTGGCAGGAGCGCCAAATCCGGTATCGGAACCGGTGCCGCTACCGCTGCCACTGCCGCTACCGCTGCCACTGCTGCTGCCGCTACCGGCCGAAGCTGAGCTGGTCGGCGTGGTACGACGGGAGGTGCTGAGCGATGGACTGCTGCCACTGCCACTGCCGCCGCCGGCAGTGGTGCTGCTGCCGCTGCCGCTACCTCCACTTCCAGGGCCGCACTTGTTACCGGCAAGGCAGACTTTGCCTGCATCACAGTAGCCACCCGAAGAACAGCAGACGCCACCCGAGGGCATGCAGCTAATAGTCGCGAGACAGATGTTAGCATAATGTGTAAAATGACGTCGTTGAAATATATTCGATCTCAGATAATGCCACTTACGCGGCATTGCAAAGCTCAAAGCCAGGATCACAACTAGTGGCCGGCTTGCAAGTCTTGCCAAGCGGGCAGCAAGTGCCTCGGGTAGTGCAGTACTGATCGGAGTCACAAAAACCGCTCCTGGTAAACGTTGTAACTGGAAGTTAGAACATGTTATGCGGCTGGGTGGCGTCGGGCTGAGACGGCACCGAGGCGGGACTGAGGCGAGGCTGTAGTTACCCAGGACAGCAGGTGGACCCGCTGGGCATGCAACCGGTGTTGCAGACGACCTTTCCAGCAGCACATGACGTCGACTGGCGCATATGGAGAGGCGACGAGCCCTCTGAGCCGAAGAGCTGGGAGAGCGTGGCGACGCCGTGGGAGGGCTCGTCGAAAGAGTCCTCGGCGAGTGCGCCAACGGCAGCGAGGCAGACGAGTGCGACGGTCCTAAGCATCTTGATCGAGTTGTTTGCCGCGTTCACAGGTGAGTGACTTGTTCGGACTTGTTTGCGGGGTCACTGGTTCGTTGTGCTGTAGGACGACGGGCGTGGCGGGGAAAGAAGTGGTCTCGGGGTGCAAAGTGGGAGAAGACCCTCCCTATATCCTCGTCCGTGTTGCCTGTAGCGTTGGAACAGAGGGCCCTTGGGAAGCCTAGCCGTTCAGAGCTTGCCACGGAGGGTGAGGCGCGTGAAAATCCTACTGGCTGCACGGCCAAGGGGCTGAAAGCCGCCCATCTTCGTGACCGTGCACACCCCTGGCTGGGATAGCACATTTCGTCCTCTAGGACGCGATGCCCTCACCGAATTGCGTGAAAGATCAGCAACGGTGGAGACAAGCTCATCTTGCCAAGGGGGGAGGAAGAGGGCTAGGCTGCGGCTGGCGTCAAAGAGATGATGCGGCTGAAGGGCAGCGGGGCTGCTCTGCTGGATCCCTGGCCACAGAGTCTGGTCACGCACAGGTGCGCTGGCAGTGATGGGGGACACCAAAATAGCACACGGAGATTTAGTCTAGTCCTGGGCAGAAGGGAGCCAGAGCGTTTTCATGTCGGACAAGGACACCGACATGCGGGTACCCAATCCGTGCAGGGAAGCCTGATGCACACGACTGTCGAGTGTGCCAGAGGTGTTTGCCACTCGGTAGCGTCTCTGGGAAGCCAATGGCAGAAGAATGCCAGACCAGGGTGCGAGGCAGCCGCTGGGTACGCCTCGCGAAGATCCAACGGGTGCGAGGCCGCTTTTCCCACTTGAGCACAAACAAAGGCCCGACAGCGAGACAGCCAACAGCCCAGCAGGAGGTGGGAGATGGGAGCGATCTGAGGCTACACGCCGTCCAAGCCAGGCAACGCCGTTTCTGGGATCGCACAGGCCCGAGATCGGCGCTGCCATCTGCAGGGGGACACCGTATTTCGCATTTGGCCGTCGAAGGCGTCGAGAAGAGCCGGCAGGTACATAGAGTCTCTCATTTCAATTGCAATCGTCGAACTTTAAATCGTAAAGTTTAGGCGGTTCTTGGTGGTTGATGGTCAAAGCGTTGGTCTGGCCACGGCTGTTGTTGGGCAGGTTGCGGGAGCGTGCATGGACGACATCATGTGACGGCCCAAATCCAGCCTGCTGTAGGCCCTCCGGCTGCTGACTCAAGAGTTCCCCCTGGCAGCCACCCAATAGAGTCGTGGCGCTTCCTGTGCTTGGGCACAGGCGCATGCGGGCGCAACTTGAGAAAGGCAGGAACGCAATTCCTGTTGCCCTGCCTGATCCCTCATCCGCCCGACTTTGCTATGATCTATGGCCTTGGACTTTTGGACTTTGGCCCCAACACCAGCATTTCCTGACCCAGCATCCTACGACCATGTATCGCGCTCGCACAACTGCTAAACTTCTTCACCTTGCTCTCCTTGCACCTCCTGATTCTTGATTAGTCCGTGTGCGCCTTGTTTTCCAATCTCCGCCCTTGCTCCTTCCACCGACGTAAGAGGGGTGACTCGTTTTTTGGACATGGTGGCGGCCAGCGCGACCGCCGCACAGCCAGATGGGCCCCCGCCCTCGCAGGTGCTGCTGGTACGCACCTGCCCGCTTACCCCTTGCTTCCAGTAATGGAAAAGGGACATAGCTCCAGCTGACTTGGGCCATTGCCAGGACGAGTTCCGCCCGTTCCTCGACGAGAGCGTCATCCTCGCCATTCTAGGCGACTACGACGACCTCGCCGCAAACATCGAGACCGCCAGGAGCACCCTTGCGATCCTTGCCGAGAGCGCATGGGTCGAGGAATCATGCGACTTCAACCCCAGCGGCGTCGCCGATGACCCAGTGCCGTCGGAATCACAGAAGGGTACCCAGCGCGATGCGACGGACCCGTCCGTCTTCACGGACGGGGAGCGGTCCCTCTCGCCTTCCATGTCAGACAGCGCATCCGAGCCGCTGTCGGCTGATGTTCTTGATGGGCTAGGATTGGGAGTGGAAGAAATGCCCGACGACGAGAAGCTGCCCGCCTTATACGCCATGTTTCCGGAAATCAAGCCTTTTGATGTCTCGTTTGAGCTGAAGAGGGCATCGGGCGACTTCGATAAAGCCTTGGCCGCCCTGCTCACCATTCAGTATCTCGACGAGACCGGCCAGAGACAAAGGGGTACCATCGACGCAGCCTTTTCACCGGAGCAGTCGAGTCCTGGGCGCCGTAGGAGGGGCAAAAAGAACAAGAAGGCAGCACAGCCCGAGAGTTCCAGTAACAAGCACCGGCTCGAGCTGCAGTACAGCCTAGCGCCTCTTAGCTTGGAGGATCCGGATGGCGTCACTTCTGCCGCCCCATCTGCCGCCCCATCTGCCGGCCGCCCATCATTGATGAGTCCCATCTCATTCACGTCACCATCCAGATCGGCCACCGCTCCACCGGCAAGCACGCAGATCGCACGGCCTCCAGATCCCTCGGCATGGCAAGAGGTGGTCAAGCGCAAGAAGCCCCCCCGGGTCGGCCGCTCCGCGACAACGTCTCCCATCGGGGGCGGCGACTCAACGTCGCTGCGCGACGCAGCGCTTGAATCGTTCAACCAGGCTCACGCGGCTTGGCGGCACGGCAAGTCGAACCCGCTTCACCGGCCCGCGGCAGTCGTGTACGCGGAGCGGGGCCACGCGTTGGTCGAGTCGGCGCTGGCGATCGAGCGCGCCGAGCACGAGGACCTTGTCAACCGGCAGAGCACGGCCGGCCGGGTCGACTTACACGGCGTCACGGTCCGGTCCGGCGTCGAGATCGCGCTCGAGCGCACCCGCGAGTGGTGGCGCGCCGTCGGCGACCGCGAGGCCGTGTCGCGGGGGGTCACGGCCAAGAGGGAGCCGTTGTACGTCGTCACAGGCGCCGGCAAGCACAGCGTCGGCGGGGTCTCGCGCCTGCGCAAAGCTGTCGGCGTCGCTCTCGCGCGGGATGGGTGGATCGCCGAGGCGCGGACGGGCGAGTATGTCGTGACTGGTCGCAAGAACTAAGAAGGTAGGGTGTCGTATTTCATTCTGTTGGATTTCGTTATTTCCTGGATCTGCAGAGGCGTCGCGAATACCCGTTCCCTTTTGTTGGTACCTGGAACGTACCAGCGAACTCTATCTGCATATGTTTGACGACTTTATGAGTTTATGGATTGGACATTTGTGTGGACAACACGACCGTTTTCTGGAAACATATCCGAATCCTGGATGAAGGATACATGTTTAGGATAGACCGTCTGCTCTGTTTTACGGATTTGACCTGCGAATCCCGTGCATTTTTTTAACGCCCGAACAACTGTAAGGCTTCGTCGGAATGAAACGGGACGCTTCTTGTTCCTGTCAGGCGATATTGCTCGACCTCCCCCTCCCGTGTTGTAATTCATGCGCCTGTCGCCTGACTCTCGGCAGTGGATGGGACGCAGCTACGGGAATCGGCCCTGTCCCAGGTTCGGCCCGTTGTCAGCCGGCGAATCCCTGCCCCATTTTTGCCGACCGACAGCCGCAGTTCCCGACCTCGCCGATTCCCTCGCGGGCGGCCCGGGATTTCGAGGTCCATACTTGAAGTCAGTACTCAGTTCCACGTGAGATTGTCCGATGCCATCTCGGGGACCTCAACGGGCTTTTTACCTGGGTCGTACGGTTACTGAACTGGTGGTCCCCGATCTCATAACTGGTCACCGACCCCTCGCCCGGAACCTGGCAGACCCGTTCGTTCTGTGCAAGGCCGGTGATTCGGTATTTATTAGGGAGCTGCCATAATAATAGATGCTGACTGCGTTCCCCGTTGTCGCCTATGATGCCGACTTCACATCCCACCCGCACCACACAATGCTTGCAATACGCCCGATCGCATTCGGAGCTCCCAGGTCCCTGGTTCTAACCCGGGGACCTGCGAACATGATGATAAAAGGGGGAGCACGCGCCATCGTTGCCCCTGGTGGTTTCCGCTTGACCAAAGCCTCGACAGTCCGGAGGACATTCCACTCGTCAAGCATCCTCAAACACCAGCCCTTCGACATAACTAAAGGCAACTCCACAATGGCAACCATCAACGAGCCCATCATCCACTCGGTCTTTGAGCCGCAGACGTCAACATGGCAGTACATTGTAGCCGACCCGACCACCAAGGCCGCCGTGATCATTGATCCGGTTCTCGACTATGATCTTGCCCGCAACGCCGTCTCCACCACAACCGCCGACGGTCTCCTCGCCACGGCCGAGGAGCAGGGCTACACGGTTGAGTGGCTGCTCGAGACGCACGCGCACGCCGACCACCTGACGGCCGCCGCCTACCTGCAGCATCGCCTGGAGGCCATGGGCAACAAGAAGGCCGGCATCTGCATCGGCAAGCGCATCGTGGGCGTGCAGGAGCGGTTCGCGAAGCGCTACGGCATCGAAGGCCCAGAATACAGGGCTGCTTTCGACCGCCTGCTCGAGGACGACGAGGTCCTGAGGGTCGGACGGCTCGAGGTCAAGGTGATGCATCTTCCAGGACACACGCCGGACCACCTGGGTTATCTTGTGGGCTGTACGTATGAGCCGCGCCCGGATAACCGTGTTCTATCAGTGTGTATGTTGCTGACAGACGCGGAAAAGCAAACGTATTTTGCGGCGACTCCCTCTTCAACACCGACGTCGGCACTGCCCGCTGTGATTTCCCCTCGGGCGACGTCCACCAGCTGTATGTCCAGACACCCCCCCACTAGGTACTCTTTTTGTTTCTCCTGCCGTCGCACAGCCATACTCACGCCACAGCAGCTACGCCTCGGCCCAAAAGCTCTTCTCGCTCCCCGACGCGTTCCGCATCTACACGGGCCATGACTACGTCCCCCCGGACTCGCCGCGCGGGCCGCAGGCGTGCACCACCGTGGCCGAGCAGCGGTCGCGGAACAAGCACCTCCGACAGGACACGCCCGAGGACCAGTTCGTCGACTGGAGGGCCAAGAGGGACGCCGGGCTGGGGGAGCCGCGACTGCTTCACCAGGCGCTGCAATTCAACGTCCGCGGCGGGCACCTGCCCTGGAAGACGGAGGGTGGCGATCGGTTCATGAAGGTGCCGCTCAAGGTTGCGGCGGCGGGGTGGGTGGATGGAAAGGTGTAACCAGATTGCTGCATCAGTCTAGAATGTGTATCTCATGGAATTTGATCCTTCTTTCCTTTTGTGCTTCATTCACTGCCCCCTTTCCAATTCCAGGCACCTTTTTGGCCGGCGCTAGCGCTCAGTCCCAGCCACGCCTGCACATCTCGCCAAGATCTGCTGTCCAGGAACAAGGAACCATGGAAGGCACGTGCCATGTTCTGTACCCCCAGCCAACCACGACGCGACACGCCAGTGGAGCCAGCATCCCACCTGTGCCTGTCCCTCACATGATACAGGCACGGAAGCTGGGACCAGCCCGAGCTTGCCGAGAGCGTGGCCGCCCACCTCCCGCGCCCGCGAGTACTGCAAGCGCCCAAGAGTCAGCGTCGTCATCGACATTTGCAGCGTCGCACCTCGCGCGCGGGCCGAGCCCCTAACGATTGCTCCCAACGATTGACAGAACCACGCCCGCCACCCATCGCTCACCTCATTCAGCCGACAACAGCATTACAGCCTCCCGCCATTCTCTTGATTCCTGTCGTCTCTCCATCGCATCGCGTGCTGTCTGCCCAGCACCGTAACCGTCGCCAATCCGCCTCCCAATCGCATCACCATACTCTATCGACGCGCTCGCTCATCGCGCCCAACACCAGCGTCTGCAGGCATCGCCCTCGAGGCATCGGGTTGCCTCCCGCCAATCCCGATGGCAAGACTCCCCAAAGTCGTTGCGGGCACCGCGCTCCTACTAGCTGGTCTAGAGACGGTCGGAGCCGCCCATGCCCAGGATTCGACGGCATGGACGCCCACACACGAAGCCGGCCGCTGTGCCATGCGAGGCCACTGCGGCAAGAAGTCCTGGTTCGGCAAGGAGCTCCCCTGCGTCGACAATGGCGCTGCCACGGAACCTGATGCCGATTTCCGGAAAGAGCTGGTCGAGCTCTGCGGGCCCAAGTGGCAGACTGGAAATGTCTGCTGCAGCTCAGATCAGGTAGGTTGGTGTTTAGTGAAGCTCTGCTGCTGGTAGCGTCCACCCCGACCTTACTGACCTTCTCTGGACGAACAGTTGAAATCCCTGAAATCAGAACTCTCAACGCCCCGCCAGATCATCTCCTCGTGTCCAGCCTGCAAGGAAAACTTCTACAACCTCTTTTGCACTTTTACATGTTCCCCTGACCAGTCGCTGTTTATCAACGTGACTAGGGCGGAAGAAAAGAGCGGCAAGCTGCAAGTGCGGGAGGTCGACCAGCTGGTATCGCAAACGTACGGCAGCGGCTTGTACAGCAGCTGCAAGGATGTCAAGTTTGGAGCCTCCAACTCCAAAGCCATGGACTTTATCGGCGGTGGAGCCAAGAACTATACGCAGATGCTCAAGTTTCTCGGCGACGAGAAGGCCATCGGCTCGCCGTTCCAGATCAACTTCCCGCAATCATATAGCCAGCCCGGCATGTCTCCCAGGGATATGACCCCCAAGCGGTGCAACGACGACGACCCGGACTTCCGCTGCGCCTGTGTCGACTGCCCCGACGTTTGCCCCGCGCTTCCCGACGTTGAGGATGCCGGTTCCTGCCGCGTCGGGGCTCTCCCGTGTCTCTCTTTCGGCGCCATCTTCGTCTACAGCGTGCTGCTCTTTGCCTCGGTCGCCGCCACCGTGGGAGGCTCCTTTCTCAAGAAGCATAACGAGCGCCGCCGAGAGAGGCTTAGGCTGCTTCAGGATACTACGGCGAGCGACGACGAAGACGAGGGTGATCTTGTGCAGAACAACGCCATGCTTGACCAACCCCAGAAGAACTACCCGCTCAACTCGTGGTGCGACACGGCCTTTAGCAAGCTCGGCCACACGGCGGCCCGGTTCCCTGGAATCACCATAATCAGCAGCCTTATCGTTGTCGCCCTTCTCTCGATTGGCCTCTTCAAGTTCGACATCGAAAAGGACCCTGCACGGCTGTGGGTCAGCCCGACCTCTGCGGCGGCCCAGGAGAAGGCTTTCTTCGACGAGAATTTTGGCCCCTTTTATCGTGCCAACAAGGTGTTCCTCGTCAACGACACGCTGCCGTCTGGTCCTGGACCCGTGCTCAGCCATGAGACACTCACCTGGTGGATCGGCGTTGAGAACAACATCAAGCAGCTTAAGGGCCCCAAGTTTGGTGCTCAGCTTCAGGACGTCTGCTTCAAGCCGACTGGTTCCGCGTGCGTCGTTCAGTCGGTGGCTGCCTATTTCGGGAATGATGCCGACCTTGTGGACAAGGAGACGTGGCAGGGGGATCTCCGCAACTGCGCCGAATCACCCGTCAGTTGCCGACCCGACTTTGGCCAGCCCATCGAGCCCGGCATGATCCTGGGAGGGTACGGAGACGTTGCCAATGTCGCTGCCGCGCCGGCCATGACTGTCACCTGGGTGCTCAACAACTTCCCCGAGGGCAGCTCTGAAGTCTCGCGTGCCATGGACTTTGAGGAGTCTCTCAAAGACCGCCTTCTCGCCCTGCAGGACGAGGCTGCTAAACGGGGCCTGAGGTTGTCCTTCTCGACCGAGATCAGCCTCGAGCAGGAGCTCAACAAGTCGACCAACACCGACGCCAAGATTATTGTAGTCAGCTACATCGTCATGTTCCTGTATGCCTCCATCGCCCTGGGGTCGACCACCCTTAGTCTGGGCGAGTTCTTCCGCAACAAGTCCCTCTTCTTTGTGCAGTCCAAATTCGGGCTCGGCATCATCGGCATCATGATCGTGCTCATGTCGATCCTGGCGTCCATCGGGCTATTCTCCTGGTTCGGGCTGAAGGTCACCCTGATCATTGTCGACGTCATTCCCTTCATCGTTCTTGCCGTTGGCGTGGACAATATCTTCCTCATCGTCCACGAGTTTGAGCGGGTGAATGTCAGCCACCCCGACCTCGATGTGGAGTTGCGCATTTCCAAGGCTCTCGGGCGGATGGGTCCGTCCATCCTCTTCTCGGCCGTGACCGAGACGGCGTCGTTTGCGCTCGGCGCCTTTGTCGGCATGCCCGCCGTGAGAAACTTTGCCATCTACGCCGCAGGCGCCGTCTTCATCAATGCGCTTCTCCAGGTCACCATGTTTGTGTCGGTCCTGACCCTCAACCAACACCGCGTCGAGGATTGCCGCATGGATCTCTTCCCCTTCATCCAGCTCAAGTCGGCCCGCATCCATCTCAACGGCAACGGCAGCCTCGGTCCTAGGTACCACGAGACGCCCCAGGAGAGCATGCTGCAGCGGTTCATCGGCAAGCACTACGCACCGGCCTTGCTCGGCAAGAAGGTGAAGACGGCTGTTGTCGTTGTGTTCCTTGGGCTGTTTACCGCTGGCGTCTCCCTCATGCCCGAGGTGAAGCTGGGGCTGGACCAACGCGTTGCGATCCCAGACGACTCGTACTTGATTCCCTACTTCAATGACCTGTACGACTACTTCGAGTCTGGTCCGCCCGTTTACTTCGTCACCAGGGAGTCCAACTTCACACAGCGTGCCCATCAGCAGGAGATCTGCGCTAGGTTTACGACTTGCAACGAGATGTCCTTGTCCAACATCCTCGAGCAGGAGCGCAAGCGGCCCGAGACTTCGTACATCGCTTCACCTACTGCCAGCTGGATTGACGACTTCTTCCTGTGGCTGGACCCGGAGCAGGGTGACGCGGATCAGGGCAAGATGTGCTGCATGGAGAACAAAAAGGCTTGCTTCGCCAACAGGAACCCGCCATGGAGCATCACCATGTCGGGCATGCCCGAGGGTGAGGAGTTTGTGCACTACCTCGAAATGTTCCTCAACTCCCCGACCACAGAGAGCTGCCCTCTCGGCGGACAGGCAGCCTATGGCAACGCCGTCGTGGTCGATTCCGAGAAGAAGACGATTCCAGCAACCCACTTTAGGACAATGCACACGCCGCTGCGCAGCCAGGATGACTTCATCAACGCCTACGCGTCTGCGCGTCGGATCGCCTCCGAGGTCAGCGAGAAGATCGGCGCCGAAGTCTTCCCTTACAGCGTGTTCTACATCTTTTTCGACCAGTATGCCAGCATCGTCAACCTCACTGTCACACTGCTCGGCTCGGCACTTGCCATGATCTTCGTCATCTCGTCAGCCCTTCTCGGATCTTTCCTCACGGCCGCCGTTGTGACGGTGACGGTCCTCATGGCCATTGTGGACATTGTCGGCGCCATGGCGGTTATGGGAGTCTCGCTCAACGCCGTATCCCTGGTCAACCTCATCATTTGCGTTGGTATCGCGGTCGAGTTCTGCGTCCACATCGCGCGCGCCTTCATGTTCCCGTCGCGCACCTTCATGGAGCGTGCCAAGAATCGGTTCCGAGGCAGAGATGCGCGGGCCTGGACCGCCCTCGCAAACGTCGGCTCGTCCGTCTTCTCGGGCATTACCCTCACGAAGCTGCTGGGAGTGTGCGTGCTCGCTTTCACGCGCTCCAAGATCTTCGAGATCTACTACTTCCGCGTGTGGGTCGCTCTTGTGCTCTTTGCTTCGACGCACGCGCTGGTCTTCCTGCCCGTTGCCCTCAGTATTGCTGGCGGTAGCGGCTACGTCGACCCCGAGAGTATCGGAGGTCTCGAAGAGGATCTGGCCTCGCGACGATACCGAGCTACCCTCGACAACTATTCCGACTCGGAAGACGAGGACTAGGAGGCCCATGAGGGCTTCGAGGGTGGTGGTTCTGGGAGCGGAAGCCAGAATGAAGGGGAGGGTAGCTAGGGTGGTCATGGCAATGTTATCATGGGGCCAAGGAGGGCTAGGAGAGATGTAGGTGAGTTAACCGGTGAGAGCGGATGTGATGGCGAGGATGAAAAAGACGGGGCCATCGTGGGATGTGAAGGAGACTATTTTGCTGGAAGCCGTGGGCACACATCAACTCTTGAGCACACATCCGGAAGTTTGCGACGGCGGGTGCGAGGCGGGCCTCGGACGGCGCAACCCCTCGTTCCCCCGCTGGAGAGGGAAGCATCGTCGAATCCCCTCGAGCCACAACCCCCCCTGACGCCCTCACGGAACCCTGAAACAAAACCAGAAGCGAGCTTAGACACCTTGTCAGCACTGCCAGACCCACGAGTGCCGCCGCCGAAGCTTCAAGGGCAGACACGGCGCATATCTAGACCCAGGTCGCCGCCATCAAGATCCATGAAGAAACCACGAATACCACTGGAGCCGTCGGAACCATTGATAGATCCAGTTGGGCCAGAGCCAAGTGTTATTTCTACCAACTCCAACGAGGTACGGTCTTCTGCCGGTGACACAATCCCCTCCCCTCCCTTTAAAGACCTCCAAGCAACTGGGAGCACAGGGGACGCCGGAACGTCAACGGAACCGAGGAGAGCAAGGGCGGAGGAGATCTTTATTCCTAGCACGTCACCTCCCCCGTTGAAGCAGCCTGGAGATCGTGCACAGGTCAGGGCAAGGCCGAAGAGAAAACGCGTCACCATGGTGGCCTGGGACCAGAACTCGAAATCGAAACCGAACGAGAGCCGTCCACCACTAGATAACACGGAAAGCGATGTAGAAAGCGACACGACCACGATTGAGGCCCCTGACGAACCCTGGACGGCCCCCTCGAATCGTACTCAAAGCAAAGTTTTGGCGGCTGGGATGAGAAAAGCTCTCAAGGGAAAGGTCACGGCTGACGACATCTCGCTTCTGCCTTCATTTCGACGGGTCTCGGCAACGGACTTTGGACGTGTCGCCAGCTTCATCGAACGCAGACACGGGCTCATCTGGAGAAGACATCGCGTCTGGCAGGGGAGGATATCGACCGTGTTCGGCACGATCCTCAAGGTGCGGCGGCGGCCCAGGGTCCCGTTGATGATTTATTGGCACGATCAAGCGCCTTCATGGAGAAAGAAGCCGATCCACTATATCGGCAAGGCGGATCGCTGGACGTACTTTACCCTCATGTCCGTCCCTCGCCTCCGATGCCTCGTCGTGACAATGGAACATACGAGGTACTGGAGAGGGGTCGACCCGCTCGGCGATTTTGACAGCGGCCGCTTTGTTTGGGTTGGCCGTGAGGCATATCACGAATGGCTCGGGGGGGCGGAGAGTATCGGTTGGTGATGGCCGCGACTGTCTCGGGCGAACTGTCCCATGCTGAATTCCCTTTTTCCTATCATGTTTTCAGTATTGGGTTGCATTCGATATCACATATTCCAGCGTCTTGAAATCAGTATATAAATAGGTTGCTACGGTCAAGGGGGAGCCAAGGAGGAGAGGGGAGCATTATTTCTGGATGTAGGATTACTGCTTTAATGTCTTGGCAGCAGTGGAAAGTCGATGGAATAAATACAGAGACGGAAGCGATTTTGGATTTTTATTTTCCCCTATTTTATATTCCCCTGACGTCGTGACGATACAAGCAAACGGACAGGCTACGACTGGTACATACGACCATACCCACTGGAATATACGGGATCCCGTCCGCTCTCCCCTA